AGAAACAAAACCCTAATAATAAGAACTGGAGAGAGATGGGTCAAGGGCAGCAACTCCCTCAAATTCCCCCTGCTCTCTGGGTAGGGTCGCAGGACCCAGAGCCACCACTGGGGGGAAAATGGGGGTGTCACGTGCGCATCTGAACCTGAATTCCAGTCCCAGCTCTGTCCCCCCATTGGCCTCCCGAGCTCGAGCAGGTGACCTGGGCTTATTAGGCATTTTGCTGCACACCCAGGCTGAGGCTGCACATTCCTCCCCGTCCCTTCACCTAGCCAGACCCCCTCTGCAGAGTGTCAGACAGGGCATACTGGGGTAGCTCAGCCTGCCTGTCTGTCTTACTGACTGAGGAACCTGTCTCAATGGGCTTCCAGTTCCTGACTCTTTTCCTGTGAAATGGGAATAAAATTCTCGGATGGTGGCTGCTGTGAGAGCAGGCTGGCAGATCTTAAAATGTGGATGGCTGTAGTATTCGGAACTCGGCTCGAGCTCGGAGCCCCGGATAAGTTCTCCAGAAACCAGCCTCAAGTAACGGCGATCCCCAGCCTTTCCACCGGCCTTCCTTAGAGCTTAGCTGAAACTGCCAAGAAGAAAACTAGGTCCGGAATGGGAGCTGTCCCAAGCTTGGTGCTGAACAGGGAGCCGAGGCGACTCTGGTAGTCCACTAGTGCAGTAGCCCAGGCTTAGGACCCTTTGTATGAGAGGTCCCCAGGGCCTCTGCCTCCTGGCTGCCAGGACTGACTATAAGCCAGTCCCCGAGGCAGTATCAGCCCTGGCAGTACCATAAAGGCAAACAGGCAGGTCCCCTCGGAGGGGGACTTTTCGTTCTTCCCTTCCTACTCCACCACCCTGGGGGCGCGGAACTTCTCGATCGTTTTCACACCATACCGAATTCTGAGGTTGCTTTTAAAAAATCATTAGGATTCTAGGAATAATTACCGAGTGGGATTGTAATTATGGGATGGGGGAGTCTCAGCTGAGGGAGGGGAGATGAGCAGGGTGGGAGTGCTGAGGGTCACCTCTTGTACTGGGACAGAAAACAGGCCGTTTGCCTCCGAAAGAAGGCAGAAAGGTTGAGAGCGGAGTTGGAGTGGGACAGAGGTAGCACCTGGGAGAGATGCCAGAAGGGGGGAGCCGAAAAAGAGGGCCTGAGCAGGCTCCGGGCTGAAGAAAGTGAGAGGCGGGGAGAAAGCCAGAGAGAGATAAAAAGCTGATGGAGGGGAAAGCGAGACCTCCATCTAGAAGAAACGGAGCCTTCAAACTTGTTTGAGAGGCTTCAGAGAACAGGCTGGGCACCTGACCCAGGCCTGACACCTCCCTTCTCCGAGGGCAAGGCCTGAGCCATCTAATTGTGCTCCAGGGTCCTTTCGTGGGGTCTCCTGGAGTCAGAGAGAAAACAGGAAAGAGCAAGTGAGAAGCGGAAGAGAACGGGAATGAACCCACGGGAGCTAAAACACAGGAGAAAAGAGGACCCATAACCCAGAGCCAGAAGGAAAACAAGAGGGCGGGGGGGGGGGGAGGTGAGGGCGACCCCGAGCCGCTACCCGCGGAAGATTTATGGAGCAGCTCAGGTTCCAAGGACAGGCTGCACTCGCCGCTGCTGCCACTGCCAGTAGCCGCTGTGGCCGCTGCGCCCCCTGCCCCGGCGGCCCGCCGCGCCCCGGGCCATCCTTGCCATTATTAACTTCTGTTTGATTAGGGTAATTGTTCAAAGTTGGGTTGGACAGTATGATTAATTACAGTTTAATTAACGTGTCCATTAAGGACACTTAATGCCACGGGGGCAGGAAGAGGAGGTGAAAATGGCCGAGGGGGCCCCCAAAACAGGCGAAGGATGTGTTACTAGTAACTCATGGATTAAGATGAAAAGAGACCCGATGTAAGGAAATAAATGTGTGTGTGTGAGAGACAGAGACAGAGAGAGAGAGAGAGAGAGAGAGAGAGAGAGAGAGAGAGAGAGAGAGAGAGAGAGAGAGAGAGAGAGAGAGAGAGAGAGAGAGAGCAGCGCTTTGGGGTATAGAGAGAGTTCCAAGGGGTGGTTTCCCGCGTGTCCAGAAAACGGACTTCTCACCACTAGGAAACAGCAACCATGACCCTGTAGTTGACCTCACGCCTCCCCCAGTTATGACTGAGCTCTTGCTTTAGGCCTGTTAGAGATGATGGGCGATACTGGAGTTGGGGCACAAACCCAGTTATTCAGGCCCCTGCCCAGTGAAGAAAGAAGGAAGGTGACTTTCCGTACAGTGCATTCCAGCCTGCTCCCACAGTCCGGAGCAGTGGGGGAGCTGCACTGACCCCTTCCCGGCTGCACTCCCCAGTGCTCAGTGCCCTAGCCGATTCTTGATCGCCACTCCCGGTCTCCAGGGCCACTCACAAAGGCACAGTCCCTGCATCAGGAGAGTGATGTGACCCTCCCCACTCCCTTTTCTTTTAAGTCAACCCCAACTCCTTCACTCTGCCCGGGCCTGCCCGGCTTGCGATACTTTGCCGGCAAGGGCGATCTTCGGACCCTCAGCACTTGGTTCTGGGGGAGGGGAGCGAACTTTCGGGTTCCCCGGCCCTTCCTCCCTCTCGACCTTTCTAGCTTGTACCGGGCCGCAGGTGCGAGCTGCGGGCCGCAGGTGGGCGCCGCTTACCTGGGGCGCACAGGCCCTGGGGCTGAGGAGAGGCGGCGGGCGCGGCGCGTGGCCCGCGGGCTGGCTCACCCGGGGAGGGCGCGAGTAACTGCGAGGGGTGGTGGGTGTGGCGGCCCGGCTCGCAGCTGTCAGGCGCTCCAGCCGTGCGCTGGCCTCGCCACTCCCGCCAGTGACTGCGACCGTACCCGCCGCCGCGCCATGAGCTCAAGGCTTCGGCCTCTTCTTCGGGCCAGTCCCCGGCCTCGGGGGCATCCGTTCCAGGCACCCGGCTCCGCTCCGGGGACCCTGGCGCCCCACGCCTGTTGAGAGCGGGAGGGGCCGCTGGTGGCAGCGCGGGGAGCGGGGTTGCGCGGCTGTGCGCGCGCGCGGGGAGGGGCCGCGCCGTCACCCGGAGAGCCCGGCGGATCCCCGACTCCCGCCCGCTGCTCCGCCCGCCGCGCACCTCCGCTCGCCGGCTCCAGCAGCCGCACGGTGAGTACCCACGATCGCGAGCCCGCAACCCCCGCGCCAGCCGCCCCAGCGCTTCTTTCGTTGACTTCTCATTTAGACTCTGTGGCTGTTGTTTTCTATTCCACTAAATGACTCCACAGCCTCACTGTCACCGCTGCCCGCCTCCCGCCTCCTTACCCTCGCCAGGCTCTCTCTACAAGCACCGGGAGCCGGCCAGGGGTTCCCCCAAGCTGCCCGGACCGCTGTTTCTTGTGACTAAGTGCGGCCCTTAGCGGGTTCTTTCTCCTTTGGCCCTCGAAATACTGTTTCGTTCCTAGGGCTCCCCACTTCTCCGGGTTCCAAGGCCGGAAGCCCTCTGGGAAAACCCCTTGGGGACTCAGGACCCCAGCTTCAGGTGGACGCTCCTGGTTTAGGGTGTCCTCTTCACTGTATGCGGGCGGGTACATTTGCCCAGAAAACCAAGAAGCCATCGTCATTTCCCAGAGCTGCATGCCCCCCAGCCACCTCCAGCAGCCTGTCTGAGAATCGTTCCTGGGATGCCTGACTTGCCTTGTTGACCCCTCAGCCAAGGAGTTAGAACAGTGGTTTGTTTGCTCCCTAAATGTTACAGGGACTTCAGTGTAAAGGGAAGATCAACTTGCTTCAGTTTGACTGCAAGAGGTGAAACAGATAATAAATAAATTGATTGATACTTGAACAAGATACAAGATAGATGGGCAGAAGAGGGTGAGCTGGCAGCGACAGACAGCTCAGGGACAGACAAGATCGACAAATAAGGAGAAGCTAAGCAAATACAGAGGGAGGGAGAGAGACCAACAGATTAAAGATTTCGGGTTCTTTGATGAAGGCTTTGGAATTCGAAGCCCCATTAGGTTGAAGTTGCACCCCCCCCCATGGATTTGCCTTGGCAGCCAAGTTCGGGGAGGGAGATCTGGGCATTGGAACTGGCTGCAAGAGTGCCTGCAGCCGTGCAGTGCTTTGGGTTGGAACTCTGAGTGACTAGGCGACCTAGAAGGCCCTAAATATCAATTCCTGGGTCCTCCACCAAGCTAGTCTGTGGACACAGCTTCCTCTCTGCCTCCTCCGGAGATCAAAGTGGTGGACCACCAGCAACTTTTTATGCCTGGAGTTTTACAGTGGCTTCCAAGAGTGGCCAAGATTCTTTCTAGCACATCTGAGCTGGGATATCAGGGCATGAAGAATAATACTCCAAGAGGAGACACCGTCACAAAAACGAGCATTACAGAGTCTGGGGAGCCTGTGTTTGACCTGAGGAAATTAGGCATATGTGAAGGAGGAAGGCTCAGGGAAGACTGTTTTCAAAGGCTAAGAAATGACTCTGGAGAAACCTCTATGACAACCTCTCTGTCCCAAGCGCTGACCCAGATGGGAGTCAGCTTTAGTATGAAATGCAGCTAAAAATGCAGAAAATGTGGTTAAAACTGTGATCTTGGCCCAACTGATGGCTGGGAAGAAAGCGTTTTGGTAAATCCAGCTGGACACTTTCTGCTCAAGGGACACGGGGCCCAAGGAGTCAGAAGAGAAGTCCAGATTCGTGCAAGTCGGTACTGTTGTCTCTGGAAGTCGGTCATCTTGAAGCTAGGTGCAGTGGGGCCACCTGAGGTCGTGTGCAGGTGACAAGCTTTGGAAAGGATAGGGTTCAGCACCGCGAACAGCGGTGGCCTCTTCCTCTTAGGCTCTTCTTGCTCTTCTTCAACCTCTGCCCCTCCTCCTTCTCTCTGCCCCCACCAAACTACATCCCATAGTTTGGTGACGGGCAGTGACTGCCCCTCCCTCGCCTCCACCTCTCCCCTCACTGCCCCCTCCCGCACACGTGCATGCGCGACTGAGCAGAGGGGGCCTCTGGTCCCCAAAGTCCGGGCTTCAGGACCCTGTCGGACAGGGAAGGCTGCGAGGTGGCTGAACCTGTGTGCCGGCCGGAAAGCCTGGATTTGGCTATGGCATTGCTGTGTGGCCTTGGGCAAGTCACTCTCCATCTCTGGGTCTCACTTCCTTCCCAATCTGAAAACAAGATTGGATTCCTGGCAGCCCGGGCTTTCCTGCGGTTTCGATTTTCCCTTTTCCTCTCTTAGCCCCCGGGTGCTTTTGTTTCTACTCAGACACGGATCTGAATAACAAAAGGGGCCAGTCCAGGGTACGAATGAGCTGGGACTCCCCACTACCAAGTAACCCCCTCGCACCCTACGCGTTGCGCCCCTCTGGGCGGGCCTGAACCGAGGTAGCGGGCGCTAAAAATGGCTCATCTGCTCTCTGCTCTCTCTATTTCGCAGGAGCGGCGGCATGGAGGCTCTCACCACTCAGCTGGGGCCGGGGCGCGAGGGCAGCTCCTCTCCCAACTCCAAGCAAGAATTGCAGCCCTATTCGGGATCCAGCGCTCTTAAACCCAACCAGGTGGGCGAGACGTCGCTGTACGGGGTGCCTATCGTGTCGCTGGTCATTGATGGGCAGGAGCGCCTGTGCCTAGCCCAGATCTCCAACACCCTGCTAAAAAACTACAGCTACAATGAGATCCACAACCGCCGTGTGGCCCTGGGCATCACGTGTGTGCAGTGCACGCCGGTGCAGCTGGAGATCCTGCGTCGGGCCGGGGCAATGCCCATCTCCTCTCGCCGTTGCGGCATGATCACGAAACGAGAGGCGGAACGCCTGTGTAAATCATTCCTGGGTGAGCACAAGCCACCCAAACTGCCCGAGAACTTCGCCTTTGACGTGGTGCACGAGTGCGCATGGGGTTCTCGGGGCAGCTTCATTCCTGCCCGTTACAACAGCTCCCGTGCCAAGTGCATCAAGTGCGGTTACTGCAGCATGTATTTCTCACCCAACAAGTTCATCTTCCATTCGCACCGCACACCCGACGCCAAGTACACTCAGCCCGACGCCGCCAACTTCAACTCGTGGCGTCGGCACCTCAAACTCAGTGACAAGTCGGCCACCGACGAACTGAGCCACGCTTGGGAGGATGTCAAGGCTATGTTTAATGGCGGGACGCGCAAGCGGACCTTCTCGCTGCAAGGAGGCGGCGGAGGCGGCGCTAATAGCGGGTCTGGTGTTGCAGGGAAGGGCAGCGCTGGTGGAGGTGGAGGTGGCGGTCCAGGGTGCGGCGCAGAGATGGCCCCAGGCCCACCGCCTCACAAAAGTCTGCGCTGCAGTGAAGACGAGGTGACTGGGCCTCCCGGGCCACCTCCACCGCATCCACAGCGTGCATTGGGCCTGGCGGCAGCAGCTAACGGCCCTGCAGGACCTGGAGGGCCTGGGGGCAGCGCGGGAGTTCGCAGCTACCCGGTGATTCCAGTGCCCAGCAAAGGTTTTGGCCTCTTGCAGAAGCTGCCCCCACCTCTTTTCCCACACCCGTACGGTTTCCCCACAGCCTTCGGCCTATGTCCCAAAAAGGACGACCCAGTGTTGGTCACCGGAGAACCAAAAGGCGGCCCTGGCACCGGGAGTGGTGGAGGTGCCGGCACTGCCGCGAGTGCCGGTGGCCCGGGGACTGGCCACTTGCCCCCGGGAGCAGGGCCGGGCCCTGGCAGCGGCACTATGTTTTGGGGACATCAACCTTCTGGCGCAGCCAAGGACGCAGCGGCGGTAGCTGCAGCAGCGGCCGCCGCCACTGTGTACCCGACGTTTCCCATGTTCTGGCCAGCTGCCGGGAGCCTCCCAGTACCGCCTTACCCTGCCGCACAGAGCCAAGCCAAAGCCGTAGCGGCCGCGGTAGCTGCTGCTGCGGCGGCGGCGGCGGCAGCTGCTGGCAGTGGCGGTCCGGAGTCTTTGGACGGTGCTGAGCCAGCCAAGGAGGGCAGCCTCGGTACGGAGGAGCGCTGCCCAAGTGCTCTATCCCGCGGGCCCCTGGATGAGGACGGCGCGGACGAAGCACTGCCTCCGACCCTGGCCCCCCTGCCACCTCCGCCACCACCACCTGCCCGCAAAAGCTCCTACGTGTCAGCCTTCCGACCCGTGGTCAAGGACGCAGAGAGCATCGCTAAGCTCTACGGCAGCGCGCGGGAGGCATATGGCTCCGGGCCTGCTCGTGGGCCAGTCCCGGGCACGGGGACCGGAGGAGGCTATGTGAGCCCGGACTTTCTGAGCGAGGGCAGCTCTAGCTACCATTCTGCCTCGCCCGACGTGGACACCGCGGACGAACCTGAGGTGGACGTAGAGTCCAACCGCTTCCCCGACGAGGAGGGCGCCCAGGACGACACCGAGCCCAGCGCACCCAGCACGGGAGGTGGCCCAGACGGCGACCAGTCCGCTGGGCCCCCATCAGTCACATCCTCAGGCGCAGACGGTCCCACAGACTCTCCTGAAGGCGATAGCCCTCGCCCTCGCCGCCGCCTTGGGCCACCGCCCGCTGGCAGATCCGCATTCGGGGACCTGGTGGCCGATGACGTGGTGAGGAGAACTGAGAGGAGTCCACCAAGCGGCGGCTATGAGCTACGAGAGTCTTGCGGGCCCCTGGGAGGCCCCGCGGCGGCCAAGGTGAGCCTGGCTTCCCACGGGTTGCGCCTGCTCCCTTACTCCAATCTGCCCGGGTGCACTGCAGCCGCGGCCGGGTGCAGGAACTGGGGTTTTGTTCTGCTCAGGCACTGGGGCAGCAGGTCCCGGTGGCTCTTCAAAGCCCCAGTTTAGGGTGCGATGTGGAAGGGGACTCACTGGGACCCCCGGGCTGAGGGATCCGGAAAATCCGGTGGGCAGGCCCGAGAAAGAGCGAGTGCGTTTTGGTTTTGTTGATGGAGTGGGTAAGAGACTTGCAGTGACTGCTAGGCACCCGGAAAGAGAAACAAAAGAGGTCCAAAGGAAGAAAGAGGAGGATAGAAAGGGACCCAAAATCAGAGAAAGGTGCCTTGGAGGCCAGGCCCAAAGTGTGCCTGCATGCATGAGGTTGACACCCAAGGAACACCAGAGAGTAGGGAGAGAACAGTCTCTTGTCAAGAAGTCTCTAGAATCCTCCACCATCCTAACCAACAGTTTTCTGAGTCTTTTCAAACTCAGGCCTAAGGAACTAACTGCACAGCTCTTGGCTGGAAAACCTAGACTTGCGGGGCTCTCTGATTGACAGGAACGTGGCTGAAGAGTGAGTTGTGACTAGGCCAGAAAGGGTTGGCTGTTTTGAAAGTAGATGCGCACACCTGTACATTTACATTGAGTTGTTAAAACAGGGATTATTGACTGTGTGAGAAAGGCATCCTTTACACAGAGAACGACCGGGGGGGGGGGGGAGTAACAGAAAATGAGGAGAGCGCTGAACGTGGGGGTGACTTTGAACAGTCGTGGTTTGAGAGACCAGCTTTGTGTTTCAAGCAATTTGCTCGTGTGTACCAAAGATTATCCCAAATCAACAAAGGTGTGTCATCCCCGCTCTGGGTGCCCAGGCCTACAGAGCCCACTGACCTCCCAACCCTCTGGCCTTCCTGTTGGCTGCGGGGCATGGGTGTCCCCCTAATCACCTGTCGTTTTCGGCCGCCACAGGTGTATGCGCCTGAGAGGGACGAACACATGAAGAGTGCAGCTGCGGCGGCGCTGGGGCCCGCGGCCTCGTACCTCTGCACCCCGGAGGCCCACGGTAATGCCTCCCAGGCAGAGTCCTAGCAGTACAGGGAGTGCAGCCAGAACCCAGGGCCAAATCGAGGAAGGGAGGGGGCGAGCAGACGGGGCGGGGGGCTGAAAGAAAAAGAGAAAAAGTGGGAGAAAGAAAAACAATAGAAGAAAGAGGAAACTGAACTCCCGTGCTCCGTGAACAATCAGGACCCATCCTCCGCACTTCCACACGCGCACACACTCCAGCACACCTAATCGGAGATTTAAACCTTTCGAAAACCTACACCTCGCAGGCATCTCCTTCAGGTCCTTTCATTTATCCAGAAACACGCTCAGCCTTAGACCTCGTGGTTGGCGAGGCCTGATCTGGGCGCGGGATGAGAGCTTTGGCTGTGCGCTTGGGTACCCCAGAAGCTTGGCGTAGCTGCGGGTCCCAATCAAGGAGCAGCCCTGCATTTGTATTTAGGACCAGGTTGTTAGCAGAGGAAGAGCGGGGCGGGCGGGGGGGTGTCAGGGGTGCGGGTGGGCAACAGAAATCCAAGCAGACCTATGCAGCCGGGTGCGGGACAATATCCCCCTAAACCACCAACACCAGGAAGGTCACCCTTGAATTGCGATCTCCGCTGGAGTCGCGCGGACAAACCCGGCAGCCACGCGCGCTCTCCCAGTGCCCCAGTATCTGTGCGCGCAATGTAGGTCGCTTGTCCCTGGTGGGCTCAGCTGCTTGTCTTGATCTTTTCCTGGGGGCCAGAGGCTAGGGCGGGGGCGTGAAGCTGGGATGGAGCAGATCCTGTGTATGGGGAGGGGGTGCGGGGCACAAAGCCTCAGGGCGCGCGCCTGGGCGCACAGCCGGGAACCAGAGGCGGCCACGACGTTTTTAATTAGGGCTTGGGCGCCCCAACCGAGGCCGCTCTGTAGTATCCGGGTCACGGTTTCTTTGCCTCTCCTTGAAACTCAGCCTGCCTTTTAGAGCCAGATAAGGAAGACAATCACTCGACGACAGCCGACGACGCGGACACTAGGAAATCCTTATCAGACCAAAGGAGTGTCTCCCAGCCAAGCCCTGCAAATACAGAGCGAGGTGAGCCCCAACAGTCCTCGATCTCGCTTGCACCGGTGATCTTGAGCTGAGATCCAACTTATCAGGGTCACTACAGGCTTGGAGGAAGGTTTTAATCGTAAGGAAATGGTGCCATTGAACTGATAGTTAATGTTGTGGGGGAGGTGCAGGCCGGGTTTCAGGTCTTATTTCTTCCTAGTTGGATTTGAGGGTCTTCTGAGAAAGGGAGGGAGTCCCTGCCAAAAGGAAAGGGAAGGGGGACCTCCTCATTCGCCTAGAATAGATCAAAGGGTGATCTATTCTGCCAGGGTTCGTCTTCCTGAACCCACTTTCCTTCTCCCCAAGTTAGTGTTTTGGAAGGTGAGAACTCAGCAGGTGTGGCAGAGGTCCTTAATTTGGCAGAGTTCCCAGGCTCTCTCCAGGACAGAACCTCTCTTACCTGTCCTTGTATCCTAGGTGAAGATGGGCTCACTTTGGATGTCACAGGAACTCAACTGGTGGAGAAAGATATAGAAAACCTAGCCAGAGGTGAGGATAAATCTGTGAAATGGAGCTATGAGGTGCTTGAGATAGACGGGTCCCTTGAGAGGGACTGTAGTGGGTGTGTACCAAAGGTATAATGCGGGAGAGGGTATCAGTTTTCATTTCACCCAGTGCAAAAGACAACCCTCTGGATGCATGGAACAGAGGCCCATGTGAGACTAGGGTGAGTGGACCAAATCCCAGGAAGTTTATTGGAATTTGGGTTCTCACGACCTGCCTCGGAGGGCTCAGTGAAAAAGAATGGGCCTTGATTTTCAGAACTTGTAACTGGCGAAAAGTTTGCGTCTCTCTAACCCTATGAAAAACAGAACTTTTCCTGAAGAACAAGATGGCGGGCAGGTATTTGTTTCAGGACTGTGTCAAAGGCTACTTTGCCCTCTGGGATTAATGCAACAATGTTGGAGCTCTTTTGCAGAGCAGCTCACCCTCCTCCTGCTGCTGTCTAGTCCCACCTGGAGATGGCTTTAGGCACACTGGGACAGTGGTCTTGAACTCCACTCTGGTCCTCCATCTTATATTCCCTTGGGAGGACCTAGATACTAGTGGTCTCCTGTTGGGGGTAGCTTACCCTTCCTCTCCACCAGAACAGTCTTCTAGGGGAGTTGACCTGAGCCTTGCCCACACAGGCCAGTGGGAGATCTTAGGAATTGGGCCTGGGATGGGGGGGGCAGTGGTCCTCCAGTCTTCCTAGTTGCAGATTTTACAGGATATGCCACAACTTCAAAGCCACCCCTTGAAATCGTAAACAAACTTTCTGTGTATGTCTTTTTCTCTAGGAAGGCTGTCCATGGATTTGATCAGATTCTCCCTGATTTGTTTTTAGAGGGGAGGCTAGATGTCTCATTTGAAATGGGGAATAGTGTTTTGTGGGTCATCTTCTGAATTGGGGAGTTAGGAGCAACTTAAAGCAGATGTCAGGCTCCAATTACTTCCTGGAGCCACGGTCCAGAAATGCAAAACTAGTTTCTACCCTCTTGAATTTGAATATCCTGGGACTATTCCCTAGGGCCCCAGCTTCCATCAAAGTCTTGGAGTTCAAATGAGAAATAAAAGCCAAAATGCTGAAGGCTTCTGCTCAGGTGTCAGGACTGTTGGTCAGCACAGAACCTTGGCCTGAATCCTCTGGATTTCCTCATTCTCCCTTTACCTGTCTCCCTTCACAGAAGAATTGCAGAAATTGCTTCTAGAGCAAATGGAGCTTCGAAAGAAGCTGGAGCGGGAATTCCAGAGTCTCAAAGGTACATATTTTCTTCCCCACCCCACAACACCACTTCCCGAATCTGCTCCCAGAACTGGGTGCAGACTGCAGCAGCCACTTGCCCCAGGGGGGAGAAGAACTCCTAGTTTCCAGCTAGGTGAAGGACTGGATGGGGGTGGGAGTAGGGGTGAGGATGGGAGGGAGCGGGAGTAGAGCTGGGAGAGGAGGCTGTGCTTAACAGCTCTCACTTAATCAATTTGCACAGATAATTTTCAGGATCAAATGAAGAGGGAATTGGCTTATCGGGAAGAAATGGTGCAACAGCTGCAAATTGTCAGAGGTAAGACGGGAGTCAGGTGAGCGCATGCACCACCGTAACTGCCTCTCGTCTGGCAGGAGCCGCAATGTTGGCTCAGTCATTTGGATTTAAATTGAAGGTAATTTAACAATTATTTTTTTTATTTAATATCCTTTGTATAGTCTGATTAGCCTCAGAATGGCAAGCGAGCCCAGCAAACGGCTTGCAGGCATCATTACATGGAGTGATTGAACTTCTTAGCGCGGCAATTTCCATGGTTTCTAAATTAAAAATCGAGGCGTAAAATTACCTGGGAAGTAATGCCTAAGTTTGCTTTAATTTTGGTTAGATCCGTCTGCCTTTAAGCGCCATCGCAGGCCATTTCCTTCCCACCCCCAGCCTGCAGTTTGAGGTGTTAGAGTCCTCTTCTCAGTTTCCGGAGTTAGTTCTGCCCGGGAGAGGCTGTGGCCCTGGTCGTGACCCGCACAGTCTGGTTGGAGAATGGTCTGTGTTTCCTCATAGCTCTTTCATGTCTTCCAGATACCCTATGTAACGAACTGGATCAGGAGAGGAAGGCGCGCTATGCCATCCAGCAGAAATTAAAAGGTGTGAACCCAGAAACAAAGATGAATGGGGGGCGGGGTGTGGAAATGGTTGTTGGATGGATGGATGGATGGATGGATGGATGGATGGATGGATGGATGGATGGGTGGGTGGGTGGGTGGATCGATGGATGGATGGATGGATGGGGTTGTAAGAAAGGAGGCCCAGACCCACATGATCAGAAGGAAACTGGGAACTCAATGAAATGAGGGAAACTTTCCATAACTGTGAGGTAGGAAGAAAGAGCCCCTTGAGCTCTGAGCATCCGAAAATTTGCTTTCTAGTCTAACCCTGATTTTAGACAATTAGACCTCTTTGTGCCTCAGTTTCCTCTTCTGTAAAATGGGGCTAATTGACCTGAGAAATGGTTCTAGTTGGCCAGGGTGTCACTCTTGCCCTCCTACTTCTCTTTGGCTCCACTGAGAATTTCTGACCTTAAGACTAAATAGGGCCTGCGATGGGGGGCGGGGGCTGGTGGGGCTGGTAGTGGGCCAGTGAGGCAGGCTAGGTTGCCAACGTGGTTGGTGTGACTCTCTCTCCAGAAGCTCACGACGCCCTCCACCACTTCTCCTGCAAGATGCTGACACCCCGGCACTGCACCGGCAACTGCTCCTTCAAGCCCCCGCTGTTGCCCTAGCGCCGGCTTGGCCGCTCCCACGCGCCCTCAAGCCATGCTGCTCCTTTCTGTAAATACCCGCTGCCGTGGCGGCCCAGAGCGAGGAACAAGCCATTAGGACCCGACCGTTGTAAATACAGCCGCCTGCCCGCTGGTCCCCATCCGGGCCCGGCTCGGTTTCCCACTGTAAATATTGCCTCGCCCCTCCTTTGAACTCCAGGGCATCAGACCTCAAGGGGTAAACTGGACCCACCAGGGAAAGAAACGGGAGAGGGGAGAGCGCTTTCACACACACCCCACTCCAGCCTGAGTAGGTCCTGGGACCCGGATTGTGAATACAATGTAGCATCTTCGCTGGCTGCAGCCACGCGCTCCCCGTCCCATCCATCCACTCTGAAACTCTCGTTCCTAAAACAACGTGGCTATGTGCAATGGATATAAACGGACTGTGAGTCTCTTGGTTCAGTATTAGGTTCACTTTATTTATGCTGTAAGTTATTTTACTTTCCCCGGACCCCCTTTCAGTCCTCATTTTGCATTCATTCCTCTTTGGATTTTGCTTTGTGTTTTTTGTTGTTGTGTAACATAACAGCACTTTAAAAGGGCGACAACTGACTCACGAGAAGGTGACCATCTTGAACCTATTTGGGGAGACCTGTATCCGTGACTTTTGTTTTTAATAAAAAGAAAAAAATCTGTCACTCTTTGGGGCTGAGGAGTTGCTAGTGTGCCCAGGTGTTGGGGGGGGGGGTAGGGGAGGCTCCTTAGGTACAAGTGCAGATGAACGGTCCGGGTTAGAGCTGCTGCTCCTGACCTCTCTACTGACCCACCTAGACACACCCGATTTCCCCCCACAGGCCTCTGGGGCAGGACCCTCCTCTGGGCATAAGCTAGAGAAGAAAACCACCTCCTGATCCCTTGGGCAGTCAGTGGTCCTTTATTTCCCAAGCTTTGCTGGTACAGCGGGAAAGTTAACTTTAGTCTCCTGTGTGTGAATTCACCTGCGTGGGTGGGGGGTTGAGGGAGTATTCAGCAAGGGATCCCAGGGTCAATTGCTTGCTGATGCGGGTGTAGACCTGACCCGGGAGCGCTGGCCGGGTGGGGGTAAGGTGTGAAGGACAGATAATAGGAAAAAAAAATGAGGAGACTTTGGAGAGTTTGAGGTCGCTGCAGAGACAGTTGCCCTGTCACGGGCCTGTTGCTATCCGGGAAGGAGGGAGCACTGTCCTCATTTTAATGACCTCTCCCTCCTAGTCTTTGCAACTAGAGGACCCCAATGAGGAAAATGAGTCCTGCCTGCTGGCCGCAAATGCAAAGATTGGGACCCTCCCTAGGCTGTGTGTGTGTGGCCCAGGAGTGTGAAGCCTCACTTAGTGGCTGCTAGCCTCAGTTTCTGCAAGGCACCTGCTGGTTGGGACACAAAAAATAAAGTATAGGGAACATGCCCCTCCCTCAAGCAGTGTGTAGGACAGAATGGAGAAAGCAGGTCCCCTTCGATTTTTCAGCCCAGAATGGATTTCATGCCGGCCTCTGGCTAGCAAAGGTCTTGCGTTGAGTCCTTTATTTTTTCCAGGGCCTCGTTTTCAAACCTCCATTAAATGGCATTCGTTTGTCTATGCCCTGAGGCTCCAGGAAGCCTCCAAGAAGGAAACCCATATGCAGGCCGCCACCAAGACTAGCACCCCAGGCTAGCTCCAAGCACTCTCTGGAGGACCTTAGAGGGCCCCGAAGTTCTCCGGAGTGTTTTGGGCCGTGAGCCTTAGCTACTCGCACCAGTGAGTTTCACTGGAGGCCTCTTGGGGTGCCTGCTAGTAGCTAGACACAGTCAGGCAGTGGGGAAAGAAGCAGATGCTGAGTCCCTCACTCGGCTGAGGCCAGTCCTGTGCTGGGGCTGCGAACGAACCTTCAAGCCTGGGATATGGCCAGTGCCACATCAGCAGAGGATGGTCTGGAAATAAGGGTGGGGAGGGTTCCGGGTAAACTGCGAGGCTCCACCTTGCTATCCCCTCTCTGGAACCCTCCGGGGGCCTGGAATAGTTCACCTACGGGAGAGATGAAGAGGGCATGCTTACCAACCCTTTCACGTCTGGGCTGCACCCATCTTGAAAGTGAGATCTATGTAGGAAGTGACTTCCGTTCCCAGGGCGCCCCAGGGACAGAACCCCAGAGCTCACGCAGGCTTGCAGGTAGCTTGGCGTTTCTCAGGGCCTATAGGCACAGTTGGAAAGCGCACAATCCTTTTCTGTAAAATGGGCAGGGCAGTTACCACCTAAGAAGGTCCGTGGTTACACACCAACAAAGGAGACTGGTGAATATTCCTTTCTCGCCTTTCCCTCCAAACTTCCTCAAAACTGAGAAAAGTATACAGGAACCTGAGTCTGCCCAAAAGGGGAGCCTCGGGTGGTACGGAGTCTCTGAGGATTGGAGGTGTAGGAGGATCCGGCCTAGAAAGTTCCGTTGCGTAAAAAATAAAAACAAATCACAAAAAAACAAAAACAGAAACCCTCTTGGGCTCCACATCAGTTGGAAATGGCTTGTTCCTCCCCCCCAAATGTTAATAACCAAACGATTGGTATGGATGTAATTATCAATAATTATACGAATTATTGCTGATTGCGGGGCTCGTAGCTACTTTAATTAGCTTACCAGATTCTAATTAAGTTAAATGAAACATTAATAGAGAAAATATGCTTTAAAAAACACCCAGGATTTTTAATGTCTATTTCTCGCCACAATGTTGCCACCTTGCGACGAACTCTAGGCATTACCAGTCAGCTCGCACGGCCCAGACTCGGTTACCTTCGCTCTAGCAGAAAAAGTGTTTTTGCAGAATTATGGGAGACTGGGCAGAGAATGTGTCACAGATTTTTCCCCCTGGTGTTTGGTTTGGCACCCTGTCCCTCGAGTTCTCCACAGGACTCTGGAGTTGGAATACAGGTAAACATGTAAACGTGCCCCTTCCACCTCCCCACCGCTCCGGCCAGAGGAATTCCATCCCTTCCAGGAGCCGTGTGGGGGAGATTATCCCTCTCCACCAGTACGGCAAGAGACTGAGTAGACAGATTATTTTCTGTCCTTGAGACACGAGTAAATTGCTTCCCACCTCCGCTTCCTGTGCCAATAGGCAAATGGGTTCCTCACCTCCTTGGTCATAGCTAACATCTGTGTTCTCAGGGCTCCGGGTTCCTGGGTCTAGCAGTGCACTCGCCTCCTCGTTATCCTTGGTTGAAGGAGTCGGCTCCCCAGGAGACTGCAAGTACCTCCACAGCTGAGGTCACACCTTGTTTGTCCTTGCCACCTCAACGGTACACCACAGGCACAGAAGAGCCCACGTGGACGTCCACGTGAAAGGATAGTTCATCTAGGTGCCTGAAATGTGTGAGGAAAGGAATCCCCAGGTGCTTCTGGACAACAGCCACTGAGAAGCAATTATGCTCATTTACATAAGGTTAATTAAACACAAGCTTGCTGCTCACAAAGAAGATTCTTCATCAATAGGATTAGTGTTGGGGTAGGGTGTCAAGTAATTTATTGTCAACCTAGGAAAGGAAAACCTTCCTTCTGTCCCAACTGTGTCTCAAAGACACTACCTCATCCACACATTCCCGGCTACCTCTCCATACACTGTAACCTTGGTCCTCTGCAGATGTGCAACTCCCACCAAGAGTCCAGATCACCAGCAGAAGCAAAACTGCACTGCTCACCCTCTCCATGCTTCCATTCATTCTAAACAGCCTCACCTGTCCCTCCCCCCCCCAGAGGCCACAGTGCTGTGCTAAGAGCACAGATTCTGTAACCGCTGTTTCCACTGCCTCCCTGTGCAGTATGGGACCTGTTGTTGGAACTCTGTGTTTCTGCTTCATCCATAGCATGACATCATACAACTAGTTTGTACACATAGTAAGTAAGCTAATGCATGTAAAGCCTGGAGGGCAGTCCTGGAAAACAGGAGCTGTTCTATCTGTGTGTGATACAATTAGAGCTGGTGTATCTGTGTGACACAATTAGAGCTGGTGTATCTGTGTGACACAATTAGAGCTGGTGTATCTATGTGTGTTACAATTAGAGCTGGTGTATCTGTGTGTGTTACAATTAGAGCTGGTGTATCTGTGTGTGATACAATTAGAGCTGGTGGATCTGTGTGTGGTACAATTAGAGCTGGTGTATCTGTGTGTGACAAGGCCACTCCAGTGCATTTTCCAGTCTGAGGCCCTCCACTTCTCCAGGGCTCAGGAAAGGAGACCTTCGGGACTTTCTGGAGACACTTGAAAGCAGCCCCTTGGAAAGATATCCTAAGGTACCAACATTGGTTGGCTACAGGTAGCCAGTGGGACAAAAGATTGAGTCAAGTTCTTCGATCAGATCAAGTTAGAGCAGAGCTAGGAAAGGCAGGCAGGACTTTAGATTTTTCTCGAAGGACTGCATGCCCCCAACAGAATGAGGGGACGTGTGAAGAATTAGGGATTTCCTCGGAGCAGCTGGGTTGCTATACCATTCCATTCCAACATAAACGGTTATGTCAGTCCTTACTATAGGAGGGAGCGCCACACTAGTATCCGTAGTTGGTAGCACTCGGGAGATAATTTAAAACTGTTGACCCAAAGAACGGGACATCTGATTCCAACAGAATTGTCCTCCAGTCGGTTATAGGAAGGCTAAGAGCCGAGGTGCAAGGACTCCCACAGATCTTGATTTGCCGCTGTGATCAGGAAAGGGTCTTGCCACCCCGATAAGCGAAAACAGAAATAGTTACGGGATGGACCGCTACTCCGCAGCCAGCGGGTGCCTAAGGAGTTGGCCCAGTCCGCCCCATCTTCGGTTCTGACCACAGGTGTCCCTGTGGGGAGCCCCGGCGCCACTGGCATCCCAGGGCTCCGGAAGGGCGAAGCACAAACACCATTTTCCTTTGGGGACGACATGGACAGTTCAGAAATCATTGAGTAAGTCAGCCCAGGAAATCTGAACCTGGGGAGGGCGGTTCTTCCTTCTTGGTCTTGCTAATTAGAATTTCTGTATTAGTTGTTTATTGATTATTTGGCGGTTGAATAATGTGCGGACCAGGAAATTCTGTTTTCACAGTCAGTGTCTCTTCAAAAGTATCAGGCCTAGTTTTCAAACGTCAGCAATCTCGCCCAGGTGACTCTACGTCATTGCGCTTTGGGACCTGGAGTGAACAGCTTTGGTGAGCCGTTCCTTAGTGAGGAGGGCAGCAGAGACAGCTGGAGCCAGGTGTGGTAGCCAGGTCTGTAATCCCAGCAACGGGAGGTGGCGGCAGGAAGGTCCAGAGTTTGAGGGTTTCCCAGACTGCATAGCAAATTCGAGGCCAGGGTGGGATGCGTGAAACCTATCTCAAAAACAAAATAAACCACAGACTGCGACTGAAGCCCACGGATAAGGCACGCTGCTAAGAGATGGGTTTTCTAGGCCCCTCTTCTTATTTCTTTCTTGAGGACTCTAGTTCCATTGAGTCAAGCAAAAGCTAAAACACGTGAGGAATGTGCAGGAGGTTGTTGTGGACGTGAAACTTAAAAGTAGAAAGAAAAATATGGAACGCTTCACGAATTTGCGTGTCATCCTTGCGCAGGGGCCATGCTAATCTTCTCTGTATCGTTCCAATTTTAGTATATGTGCTGCCGAAGCGAGCACAAGTCTCGTTCCCTCTCAGGAAGTATATAGGGTCAAAATTGTTAAATCTTTTACAGTTATGGTGAGAATCAAGTAGAATGTTTATACACACAATCACTTTATAAATTAGTGCCTTCTGAATTCTATATTGAGATTTCCTAATTTTTAGTGTAGATGTAGAGTCAATTCCGTTATGCTCGCAGCTTTCTTTCTACTTTGTATATGCAAATGAGGGAACGATGGGAAACAGACCTGTTCCGGGCGGATCTGTGCGCGGCCCCGTAGTCACAGTCCGCCACGTGATGCGCGCTGTGCACGCGCCTGGCCGCGCGGAGTTCGCTCTGGGGTCCTTCAGCTGCCGCGCAGTGTGCCAGTGTATCCTAAGGGCAAGGCGCCAAAGTTTCCACCCACTTGGAAGGGGGGGACAAAGGTTGCCTGTGGCTCATCAAGTCGGCCTCGCCTCGGATACCCCACCAGTGACGCGGCTGCCCACGGTGGCCTGTTCCGGGTGCATGGGGTGTAGGAACTGCCTCTGCCTCAGTTTCCCCCCGGCTTGTCGAAAACAGCGCCCTACCATTGGAGCCGAGGGAAAGAGGGGTGTCTGTTTCGGAACCCAGACTCCGAGTGTGGCCGGTGACTGGCGGTAGCTGCGGGGAGGGCACGCTCTAGCTCCTGCGTTTTCTAAGGGCCAGGGACTTTAATGGGTATAGTTCCATCCCACTTTGCAAGTTAGGAAATTGAGGCTCCCCGGCAGGTTAAACCAAGTGGTCCTGCGCGACGTGAAAGAAGTTGAGATTTGGATGCAAGCCTTATTCAGAGGCGGGTCTTTTCTGGCACACAGCAGGACACTGAAGAAAGAGCAGCCCTCCCCACGGTTCCGGGTCATTAGACTTTGTCCCCAAGTTTAGTCTGATCTTTCTTCTTGGCTCTGACAAACCTGGAGCACCGACATGTCGCCACCCACTCTTTAGGTGAGAGAGTGAGCACGGAGCTCAGGTGCCAGCAAGGGAGCCAGACAGACACGCAGTGAAGGACTTTGTCGGGGTGTGTATGTCACTGAGTGACCGCCCCTAGGGTAGGCGGCCACAAGAGGAGGAGACCTTTGAACAATGACTTCATACACGAGCAGCCCCTAGAGGACAGGGACGGAGACTCCCAGGAAAAGCCACTGGGGTCAGTAGAGCTCACCAGAGCCAGAGCCATAAGGGAGCCACCAGAGAGGCACTAGGGACTAGCGCACAGTGCGTGCGGTTAGACAGAAGGACCCAGCCATCCGCTGTGGCAGAGAAGCGCCAGGCCTGGCTTTTGGAGCTGAATCCCCCGCCTCCCTACCTGCTTTCAATGAGATGGAAATCAGGTGCAGGCTGCCCAGCTTCTCACGTGACCTCTTTCTAAATAAGCAGTAAGCAACTGCAAAACTCAGAATGCTAATAATGGCCTATATTGAGTGAAAAGAGCTAATTTGGGCAATGATGTTTCCCTCGGATTTACAAAAGGGAATTGCAAATAACGAAACAGTAATAGCATTGATGGGAGACGCTGCTAAACTTCGATCAGCACCCGCGTTAGTTATTCACGTATTTAGAAAGTGAGCCTTTTCAACACAGTGGCTGCGTACACACATCACGGTGACAGGTAGAGCCGGTGGGTTCATAACTACCTTAATGTGCAAGCCTGCACTGACAGACCTAGCTCTTGTTCACCGTTCCAGGCTATTTTAAGCCAGAGTGGTCTGTTTGTTTGTTGTCTGTTTGCTTTTTCTGGTCCAGAAGCAAAAGAATCTATCCGGATTCTAGTTGCATTCTTTCTGGCTCTAGTCCTGTTTTAGCTTGAACGAAGACTGTTTGCTACTAATGTCTTGTTCAGCCTTGACATGCTGCGCTTGTGTAACTGAAGGGCTTTCCTGAGAGAACATAATTAGCAAGATGTTAAGAATTCCGAGATGGCTCAGTGGGTAATCAGGCTGATGACCTGAGTTTGATCCCTGGGACCGGCATGATGCGAAAGAAACAGACTCACTCTCACGAGTTGTCCTCTGACCTCCACACACATGTGCTATGGCACACACCCAACACACACACACACACAAAATAAGAGGTAATAAAATTTGAAATTCTGATATTATTTTTGTATCCTGCTTTACACGGGTATGAATATGGTGGTCATCCTTGAGGTGTGACAGCCCCAGAAGGGCCTGCAGGAGCTACTGTAGACCTAGTTCTCAGGCCTGCTGAGGAGAACAATATTCCCCTCAGCCTGGAAGGCCTAACATGGAAGAAGGTGGAGGAAACTACTGTGATTTGGGCCTGAAGTTTCATCCAGAGGTGGAACCCAATGAAAGGAAATTTAGCCACAGGGCACCACCACTCCTGAAGAGACGAATGTTTTCCTCCTGGAACTGAGTTACTGCTGTGCTGGGACCCGCAAAGGGCTGGATTATTTACCATGAGACTGGTTGTTCTGCAGTTTGGTGTCCTTGGCTTCCTCTCACCATGTGACTTTTACTGCAGACCTGCTAAAGGCTGCTGCCCTCTCTGTGGTGATGTACCCAAATACCTTCAGCAAAGACCGAGCAGATGGGGCTACCCAGTCGTGGACTTGAACGCTCCCAAACTCTGAGCTGTATAAACCTCTCTTCTGTACAGATAGATTCTCAGCATCAGAAAAGGGATAATGGGTGCATGCAGGAGATAGAATGGATGTGGTATGAGGCTGGAGGAGAGGTCACATGAAGGAACCCGTTAGGGGTGAATCAAGTGGATCATGACTTCACAGGAAGTCCCATTTCCCCAGGACACAGGCACTAACTCGGAGGAGTGTGGGTGTTGTGGAGGACTGGCTTTGCCAGCTATCTTGGATAGAGAGCCCCTGTGCCCTGGATTCAGGGTCATTGACCACTCTGCAGACCTGAGATGACCTGAATGTGGATAGTCTTCGCTGAGTGTCTTGGCCTGCAGAACCCTAAGGGACAAGGTATGGTGACTTGGTCCTGTTGGGGGTGGGGCTTCCCCACCACCTGAGTGAGAGAATGCAGACCAGGTTTGATTATTTTTTTTTGAGACAGGGTTTCTCTGTGTAGCCCTGGCTGTCCTGAAACTCACTCTGTAGCTCAGGCTGGCCTCAAACTCAGAGATCTGCCCGCCTCTGCCTTCTGAACACTGGGATTAAAGATGTGCACCAGCATATCTAGCATTATTATTAAATTTTAACTAGTTAAGTGTGTAAAGAGTATCCTCAGTTGCACAAGACCCTGTCTCAAAAGTCAGCAAAAAATGGTTTGTGGTGGGGGGCTGGTGATGTGGTTCAGCAGGTAATGTCAACTTGCCTGCTTTTGAGCCCTAGAAACCACATGGGAGGAGAGAGATTGCCCTCTGACCTCCACATGTGTGCTGTGGAGCATGCACAAGTCCCCATCATATACATACAATGATAATAAATGTCAACAAAAAAAAAAGGAGGAGGAGCTGAATCTAAGGGCAGACCTGTTAGCCCCTGCCTGAGTCAGCGTGTCTGTTTCATTTACAGGGCATGAAGAAACATGGGGTGCTCCTCCAGATCTTGGCACCGTGGACTCTGTTGTCACTCATCTCCTGGGCCACAATGACAATGGCTGTGGTTCACTGCAGAAAACTGCCTCAGAATAGTCCCAGTGGCCCCTCTGCTGACTCTGGATCACCCTGAACCAAGCCTTTCCAGGTGCCAGGCTGACTTCTCTTCCAGGATGGAAGACATAATTCCTGCCCTTGCTGGCCAGGGCCAGGGTGGTGGGGGGCAGGGCAGATGAGAAAGGGCATTGGATACTGCAGAGAGGTCTGCACCCTCTCCCAGGGAGCCACTCCCCTTACCTGGTGAGGAGGCACTTGTCCCCATCCCCCATCAGGAAAGACTCGAAAAACCAGAAAATGAGAGTGCCAAGATGAACCATCACATTGTGTTAATATTTTCACACCACTTAACTCTCATTAAAATGTACTTTGCTGAATTTAATGTGATTTCAAATGACACAACATATTAAGTGCTTAATATACTAGAAATTATGAAACTATTATAGTCGATGCCATATGAAATAATTAGAGTGAATTAAACTTTAGCAGCCGAGTGAAGGCAAGGCTTCAACTTATGTCTGCAAGTCACTCAAGCCACCGCTGTAATCCCCCAAGTAAATGTCCAGAAATTAGTTTCTTTAAATAAAAACTGAATTTCATGTGTGCTTACACCACAAGGTCTTCTGAGATTTGGTGACATGGAACCTGGCTGCACTGGGCAGGTGAGGAGGGGCCCTGGGACCGGCTCCCAGGGAAGAGTCGTGGGGCTTCACCTGGCTTTGCCCTAGTGGCATAACTCAAGTGGCATATGATGTCAAGATGCATGGGTTTCTTTATGTTAGATCAGTGTACTGCTGAGTTAAAAATAGAAACGTGCCTACTCACCTCGAAGGGATGGGCTTCATGCCAGATGTTTTCTGTGTAGCCCATCACTCAGCCTTACAGCGCATCTGTCACAAGCCACCTTTTTCTGCTGAAAAAAAACTCCATCTAAAAGACAATCATCAAGGCCTGCAGTCAGATCCATTGTGCTGACTCATATCAGTGTGTGAGCACATGTACCTGTATGTTTGTGCACCACTATCTGGGGTGTGTGTATGTGATGTGCGCATGTGTGGCAGCCAAGGAAGGATGTCCTCTGTTGCCCTCCACCTCATTTATGTGTATGAATGTGTGTCTGTGTAGGTGTGTGTATACATGTGTGTGCAGATGCTCTCAGAAGCAAGCAGAGGGCCTTGAATCCCTGGAGTTGCAGTTACTGTGAGTTACCCAACCTGGGAACTGGGAACCGAACTCTGTCCTCTGCAAGAGCAGTACTTAGTCTTAACTGCTGAGCCAACTCTTGGGCCTCTCCACTTTATTCCTTTGGGGCAGGGTCTCTCACTGAGCTGATTTGTGGGGCCAGCCAGCAAGCCCCAGGGATCCTCCTGCCTGCATCTCTTCCACAGTGGGATTCCAGGCACACTCTGCCTTCCCTGAGTCTTTACATGAGTGCTGGAGACAGAACAGCAAGCTCTCTGCCCGCTGATGTTCCTCCCATCTCTGAACATCCCTGACTTTCATCCTGTGGCCAATGACCATGGTGTCAGGGCCTCTCCTGCCTTGGAGAACTTCCCTGCCTCAACCTTTCTATTTTCTTACATTTACTTGTTTATCCACTTATTGATTTATGTGTACATGTGGAGGTCAGAGGTCACCTGGCCAGAGTCAGTTCTTTCCTTCCACCATGTGAGCCTAGAGGTCATGGGACCCGTGGCAAGTGTGCTTATCCACCCAGCCATCTTGCTAGCCCTGACTGCCTCAACATTCTAGAGTATTCACATAGTTTACTATCGTACGTATCTTCCCTGGATAAATATGCTAACTCTTCTACGAATCCCTGTGGATGTGTCTAGAATAACAGAACAGATATGCGGATAAACAACATGATAAAAGGAACAACTAAGAGGTGACCATGAAGGATAAGAAAATGGGAGGAGTCTGGAGATGAGGCTCAATTGGTAGAGTGCTTGCCTAGCATGCTAACCACTACCCCCACCCACCCACACATGTGCATTCTGGCATGCTCAACTTTGTGAAAAGACCATTGGCAGAGCCAGGTGTGGTGGTACATACCTGTAATGCCAGCACCTGGGAGGATGTAGTTGGAGGACTTTGAGTTTAGGGTTAGTCTGAGCATCACAGTGAGATCCTTGCTCAGATTTAAAAAAAAATAGGGGCTTGGGATCTGGCTCTGCTGGTAGAGAGTTTGACTAGCATTCATGAAGACCTGTGTTCCATCCCAGCCCTGGGTGTGATGGTACATACCTATAATCCCAGCACTTCAGAGGTGGAGGCAGGAGGACTAGAAATTCAGGGTCAGCTAGGTGATAGTAACATGTGTCTTTAATCCCAGCACTCTGGGGGCAGAGGCAAGCCAGATCTCTGAGTTTGAGGTCTTCAAAACCAGTTCTTGGACAGCCAGGGCTACACAGAGAAACCTATCTCAAAAAATCAAACCCCTTCCCCAAAGAGAAGAAGTTGAAGAAATTCAGGCTCATCTTTGGATACATAGCGAGTTTGGTGCATATATGGGGCACGTTCTTAAAAAAAAAAAGGCTGGCTCGCCATACATCAAGTATTAAAAAACAAAACCAAGCCCCCAAAACTCCCAAACCCCCAAAGCAAAGGCAATGACAATCTTCTATGGTTCTGCTTTCCAGTGAAGAGTTTGGTATTATGGCCACATAGCTTTTCAGTATCGGTTTTAGTATATATTATGATTGCCAATCAAGATCTTATGATACCAGATTGCTTTCAACAATTCCTGGCATGAAGAAGCAGCCCCCTTCCCTGACTCTTCTGTTGGGGAATATTATTTTAAGGTGTGTTACTTTTGTTTATGTTGCATTTGTTTAACTATGTGAAGCTATGATACCGTGCCTGTCTAAAACACCTGATGGTCTAATAAATAGCTGAACAGCCAATAGCAAGGCAGGAGAGAGGATGGGTGGGACTGTCAGGCAGAGAGTATAAATAGGAAACAATCAGAAGAGGAGCAGCAATAAGAGCACCAGGGGAGGGGGACATCAGAGGCCAGCCACCCAGCCACCCAGCCACCCAGCCACCCAGCCACCCAGCCACCCAGCCACCCAGCCACCCAGCCAACAGAGGAGGGAGAGTGAAAGTAAGATATACAGAAGTAAGAAAAGGAAAAAACCCAGAGGCAAAAGGTAGCAGCAAGCCAAACTAAGGTTGGACAGTCATTACAAATAAATAAGCATTTGTGTGTGATTTATTTGGGAGCGGGGTGGTGGGCCCCTCGAAAAGCTACAAGAGCAAAAAAAAAAATCACACAACACTCTTCTGCGCATGCTCCTCCTGCAGCAGTCCAGCCGTACTAGCTGGATAAAGTACCTTTGTGTCCAAGATCAGATCATGTTCTCACCCTTGAAGAGCAAACTGGTTGTGGGAGACAGTAAGGTACAACCTTTCTTTGTTAAGATATGTCATTTGTACTTATAATCGTTATTATTGTTGTATGTATGTGTGTGCAGGCGTGATGATGTGTGGGCCATGTCACAGCACCATGTCAGAGGACCATAGTCAGTTCTGTCTTCCATCCTTCCGTGGGTTCCAGGGATCAAACCCAGGTTGCCAAGGGTAAGATGCGGTGAGCACCATTACTGGCTGAGCCATCTTGCTGGCCCCTACTTAAGGGGTCAGCAATTTTAATTGACATATAACAAGTGTATTTATTTAGGATCACAACTTTTCACAGGCATATTGAGTATAACCAGCAGTAGAAATGCTTGGGGATCTACAAAAATTCAGCTCTGTAGACTTGTCTCTCCCACTTTAACAGAAGACAGTTCTGTTTTTATTTGTTTGTCAGTTTCCATATTCTTTTTTTTTCATTTGTACATGAGGCTATGTGGTCTGTATGTGTGATGCATGCATTTGTTAGTGTAGATGTGTGCATGTGTGTAGAGGCAGAGATTGATATTTGACTGTCTTCGCAATCACTCTCAACCTCCTTTCTTTCTTTCTGTCTTTCTTTTTTCTCTCTTCTTTCTTTTCTTCCTTCCTTCCTTCTTTCTTGCTTATTTTGAAACAAGATTTCTCTCTATAGCCCCGGCTGTCCTGAAACTCTCTATGTAGATCAGGTGGCTTTGAGCTCACAGAGATCCACCTGCCTCTGCCTCCTGAGTTCTGGGATTAAAGACATGTGCCACCTTGCCCAGCTTATTTTTCAAGGTTTATTTTTAGAATTATGTGTAAGTGTCTGGGTGTGGGTATGCACATGTGTGTGCAGGAGCCCATGGAGGCCAGAGGTGTCATCAGATCCCTCCCCTGGAGTTGGGGTTACAGGTTTTTGTGAACTGCCTGATGTTGATGTTGTAACTCAGGTTCTCTTAATGGCTCAGCCAGCTCTCCAGACCCCACTTTTATCTTCTGAGGCAGAGTCTCTCATTGAACCTGAAGCTTATTGAGTCAGCTGAGCTGGCTGGCCAGTGAGCTTCACCTATTTCCACCCAGCACTGGGGTAATAAGTGTAAACCATTATTTCCAGCTTTTTTTTTTTTTGGTTGGGGAGGGCAGGGTTTCTCTGTGTAGCCTTGGCTGTCTTGGAACTCACTCTGTAGAAGAGGCTGGCCTCGAACTCACAGAGATCCAACTGCCTCTGCCTCGAGTACTGGGATTAAAAGTGTGTGCCGCCACTGCCTGGCTTCATTTGCAGCTTTTTATGTGAGTTCTGCGGATCCGAACTCAGGTCCTCATCTTGTATGACAGTTACTGACATTCCCCAGTCCCATTAAAGTATTTTTGATCCATGCGGGTGTCTATTCTTTCAATCCTGTTTAAATTTTTTGGCATCATGCATGATGTTTTGGCAGTCATGATCTGATCTATTGGGCAGTAGAACACAAATTTGTAAATGCAGCAAGGTTAGAACTGTGTTCCATATTCATGGAGAAGAGACTGGAAAAGACATATAAATATGATTTTTATTGTTTTTCTGCCAAATCAAAACATCATGGGATGGTACTACTATGTACCTATAGGCTCATGACTGTCTTACAACGAAAAGTTCACCCAACTTAAAAAGTCCCAAGAGTCAGGGATAGAGAGATGTCTCAGCAGTTAAGAGTCCTTGCTTTTGCAAAGGACTTTGTGGGCTGCTCACAGCCACTTAGAACTGCAGTGCCAGAAGATCCAACACCCTCTTCTTTCTGGCCTCCAAGGACTGTGCATGCATGTGGCTCACACACATACATACACACATGCAAAGAAACACTCATACAATAAAATAAAATTAAGATCTGTAAATTTTAATACTTTAAAAGTCCAAACCTGGGGCTGGTGAGATAGATTAGTGGATAAAACGCTTGCCGCACAGCCTTGAGGACCTGAGTTTGGTCCCTGGCAGAAATAACCAAAGATTCTGCCCTGACAACAAGGCAGGAAGTGAGAATCAAGTCCCCCAAATCCTCTGACCTCCACACATGTCCATGAACATGCATGTAAGAACACACACACACACACACACACACACACACACACTGCATAAACAATTTCTTTAAAAGTCTCTTACAAAGTTCAAAACAAGCACCTCTAACATATAATGACACAGAGTGAACATTCCTTTTCCTGAAGGGGAGAATCAGGGTATTCAAGGAGTGATGGGACCAGAGCAAGACCAACATCCAGCTGGATAGACATCGAATCGTGCAGCTCCGTGTTTCAGACTTTGTCTCATAGGCAGAATCTAGATTTTTGAAAATCAACATATGTGGCCTGAAAGTGGGTAGAGGACTATTGGGAGAAGGCAGGAGGCCAGCACAAGGGGGGTTGAGCGACAATAAATTTTAACTATTGCGGTGAATGTGAGCAAAGCACAATGATAAACAAGCATGAAAAATGTCATAATGGAACCAGACATTTCACTATGGGCAAGGGGCACTGCCTAGGCTGCCACGCTGGCCTCCTCTCCTTGGGTCATCTACACC